CGTTGCTGTTGTTCCAGCAAAGATCTTATTTTCACTTTACCGAGTGCCTAGTAGGTAATTTGCAGATTACCTAGATAATCTGCACATTACCTAGGTAATTTGAGAAATAGAACAATTTTAGCAACTTTAACTGGTCACCCTAGTTAATCTGCAGATTAGCTAGGTAATGTACACATTAACAACTTTCGAGCTTTAGTGGTAATAGATATACAGATAACTAACAACCAAGACAAGGGTGAGACAATTGAAGCACTTGCTTCAACTAAGCAACTAAGAAAGACACAAAAACTATCTATGAAAAATAAGAAATTAATTAAAATCTTTATGGAAACAAAATAAAAATTGGTAGTGATTTAGCCAATAAAATTATTCAGAAATTAGAAAAAGATGGCCTTAATATTCAACATGTTTAGGTCAATGATAATGATAATGGGACAAATATGGAAGGACTATATGATGGTATACAAGCTATTATTTGTCAAAGAAATGATCAAGCCAAATACATTTCTTGTTCACCTCACAGTTTGTTATGTAAAAATGTTGCTTCTGCAAATTCAAGTATGATAACTTTTTTTTTTTTTTTTGAATTACATAGAGGATCTATACATTTTCTGTAAATCCAGCAAGTAGATGAGATGCATGTATGTTTATTTTAAAAACAGATACATGATGGGCATCAAATGCAAACACAGTTAAGGAATTCAACAGATCTATATGGCATCAAATGATAATTGGGAGCTCTCCACTGGTCAAGTAGATAAAAACCACTAAACACTGGTAGTTGGTCACAGGTTTATACCTCACCAGCAAGCTGGCTATGTGGAGTTTTCTGGGTTTTTTCAAATAGGGACCATTTTCCCATAGAAGGTCCTTGAAGAAGGCATTATCCATTGACATATTACCCATTGCCTTATTCCTTTAATCCTATAATCAATAAATCATTGCAACATGCTAAAATTAATAGTTTCTTGAAGTAAATCAATTTAAAATTTTTGTATATATTATTGTGAGAATACGGACGAGGGTCAAGGCCCTCTAATCGTCAGATCCTTTAGACCTGCTCACCTTGTCACTGGATGGCTTATTCTAACAGAACCCAAGTGGTAAGATTCTGTGTGGGGTTGTACATAAGGAATAAACTAGTCAATTCAGTCATTGCAAAGGAAATTAACATTTTAATCAAAGAAATAACAACTATACAAGAAATACCAACAATACAAAAATACCCTTAAATACGGGGAATATGGGAAAGACATGACTTATCTCCTAATGCTATTCTAGGACTATATTATTTTAACCGAGAGAGAGAGAGTTTACAAACAATCTTTTACCTCGTTGGACATGTTGGATGTCGTAAATCTCGGAGGATATCGGTCTTCGGACGGAGAGGCTGGGGACAGGCACAGTGGTCAAATCAGGAACACTATCTATGGCAAAGGTCTCTAGGATGGATCCTTTACATGGCAATTCTATCTGGGCTGAACTGCCCCAATCTATCCAACCCCACCTTTTTATCACCGACTATTTCACAATAACGATTCCCAGAGATGCATCATCTGACGGGATAAATCGCTGTATCATTCGGACCAGGGTTGGGAATATTCTAAGATAAGAGGTGTGGAGGAAGGAAGCAAAACATCCTCATTTCTTGCTAAATGTTGTGTTATAGTGTCTGTTTGCAGGATGTTGAAGTTTGTAACCTTTTTAGGTTATATTTTTAATACAAATTTTAAACAAATTTAGCTTAATGTATTGTGTTATAAAGTGCAAATTATGAAAATTAGATGGGTATCCATCCAGATTCTCACATTATCAATATGGAATTTAATGCTGCATATAATAGAAAAAGTTAGTAAAGCCTTGCAATAAAAAACTATAACTATAAAGTTGCACATTTAATGGCAAGATTAGCTCTTTGTTTACAGCAAATGAGAGCAAATACTTTTGATAAATGTGAAAATTCAGCATTAAAGATAAATGTATCAACGTAATTTAAAGAGAAATGAAATAAGCAAAAATCAGTTGGTGAAAAAACTTGTTTTTTAGAAAGATATTTTTTTGCAATAAAAATAGAGATATGAAAGAGATAATAGATGACTGAGTTAAGGCATAAGCCTGTTCCTTTAGGGACCCAGGGTCAAAAATCCCCAAGAATTTTTGAGAATGGTCTGTCCAAGATATGTTGCAACTCATCCCTTATCATCTGACCCCCATTGTGAGCATAGCCAAACCAATAACCAGGCTTCAAAGAAAGATCTCTTAGTGTCTACAGGGTAGAGAGACAGAGAAAGATAATAAAATGGAGATATGAAAAATTAAACATTATCTGTTAAATCAAAATAAAGTATTTTCAGTTTCTAATTGGTAAAAAATTAATATCACTGAATTTAGATTTAACAAAAGTGGCTTTTGTCACTAACTTCACAAATTAGTCCAGAAATTGTCAAAATTATCACTTATGTTACTTTTCTGATCTATTAAATCATATGCCTCTGTGTCCTTATCTTATAGTATATTATTTAAAATGTCTACTCAGTGAAACATGCTACAGGTAGATTTCACTGAGTAGACATTTTAAAATGTACTACAGTGAAAAATAAAGACTGTATTTGTTTTCTCTGATAAGCTTTCTTAACTTTTGCTGAACAAAGACGTCGGTCTGTTAATAAAATAAGTCAGAGTAAGCATTTTAAATACTATAATATTTCTGATCAATTCCAAAAGTCCATCATCAGGAAATATAATAATAGAATGCTCGTTCAAATTGAATGTATTTTTTAAAATTCTGCTGTTGTGTGCACATTATGTAATGCATGGATATGCAATTCATAAGGTAGTTGCCTGCCATGCTTTGAACATCACTCTTCCTTCCTTGTTGTTAATGCAGTTTTCTGCCCTGTTTGTTTTGAAAATTTCAAGAGCCTCCATCTTCTTAATATGTTTCCCACATATGGATGTTTTTAACATGGAAGGTTGTTGGAATAATGGGATGATCCCTTCTAAATCATAAATTGAGAGAGTGGTGGCGATTTTTCTGTTCTGAATGTTGTATTTGTGCTCCTTAAGATGTTTGGATAGTGATTGTATGGTGGAGTTGATGTAGATTAGAACTCTTCCAGACCTGTCATCCGTAAGGGGATGGCATATACCAAGGAACTCTTTTCTTATTCAATGAGTCCTTTGTATAAGTAAATTGACAATGGTTGAATTTTGCTTGTATGCAATGCTGTGTTCCTTGATGCAGGCTATCTGGTTATATATAGGAGTTAAAATGCTATTATACTGTATTATAAATGGGTTTTTTTTCTTTCTCTTCTGGTTGTGTTATATCATATTCTTGACCCATAGCCATAAGCTTACTGTTAATATTCTCAATGAGTTGCTTAGGAAATCTATGTTTGGTTCATATGTTTAGGATTCCTATGCACCTGGAAAGTCTGAGATTTTCATTAGTGTTTAGAAAAAGTCATGGAATGTCAGGGAATTTGTTAAAAGTTGTCAAAAAGTCGGGGAATTTGCTTTTTTGGCTGCCTTGTGATTTTTTGCTGACAATATGCTTGACTAAGTGTAGATGTAGCTGTCTGCATGCAGCAAGAAGTAATGTGATGCAATACAACTTATGAAAAAGGATGCAGAATATTTTCAGGACCCAAAATTTCTTCTCCCAAGATTACACAAAATTTCTCCAAAAATTTAAAAGTACACAAAATGGAAGCTTGTTGAAATAATTTAAATGGTATTATTTATCATTTTTCATTTTAATCGTTTTCNTCTGCATGCAGCAAGAAGTAATGTGATGCAATACAACTTATGAAAAAGGATGCAGAATATTTTCAGGACCCAAAATTTCTTCTCCCAAGATTACACAAAATTTCTCCAAAAATTTAAAAGTACACAAAATGGAAGCTTGTTGAAATAATTTAAATGGTATTATTTATCATTTTTCATTTTAATCGTTTTCATTGTGTAACAAAACAGTTTCTGATTTTTTTCCAGTCTATTAATATTTGTAAGTATGCAGATTTGAGGAGGAAATTTTACTCCCTTTCATCAGGATGGTCTAAGGCCCTCGTGTATGTGGGTGGTGGTTTTTGGAAGCAGAAAAAGACAAGTGTTTACAAAAAAGAGATAAATTTAATAAATATATACTGTATACTTTTGTACATGGATTATATAGAATTTGTTAATGAATAATAAAAAATAATTGTTTTTTCTTTCTTTTTTCAACGCCTTGTAGATTTATGGTTTTGGAATAATAACAGAATTTTACTCAAATATTTTATTTTTAGTTTTAATAATTTGGCAAATATAAAAAATATATAACTGTTGATTAGGAAAACTAACTAATTAAAATATTGGAGAAGCAAAACATGTGTGCATAGGAAGTCAAATTCTGTTTTGTTTTGTCAATGTTCTATACTATAAGGGATGTGAGAGTCAGGGAATTTGTACGAAGTTGGTGAGAGAAAGTCATGGAAATTAAAACAAAAATTTGAGTAGGAACCCTGTATGTTCTTTATACGATCTATTTCATGTTGCATATCCACCTTATTGTTGGTTCAGTGGGGGTATGTACTGTCTTGACGAGCACTGTGAATGCTGCTATTTTATAGCAGTACGGGTCATGGGAGTCTGCTGGAATGTAAATTGGCTCGAAGTAACATACATTGCATTGATGTCTTCTTTAGCTTAATAATGACATTCTATTTTAACCTGAAGAAGACATCAATGAAATGTTGAAAGTGGTTGTTTTTATTATCATTGAAGTGCCAATTTCAACATCGGTAAAGAATTTTAACACCAAAAGACAGTTTTATTTATTTAATGAACAATTATTGGCTTGAAGAGTATGTTTTTATTTATTGATATGAAAGTATTTTTACATAAACAACTGATGTATCTTGCATTACAGACAAGTAATAGTAACTATGAAATCAGTTATTATATTCTAACATTTATAAAATAAAATGTAATTTAATAACTGTATTTTTTCCCGACAGAAAACAAAACGAGATGTCAACAATTTCGATTCGGATTTTACTAAAGAAGAGCCGGTATTAACTCCAGTAAATCCGGAAGTACTACGCAACATCAATCAAGATGAATTTGCAGGTTTTTCATTTGTTAATGAAGACTTTAATCCTGCCAAGTTTGTGTGTGATGGACCTGCAACATAGTTACAGTAAGCACTGTGTCAATTTGACCCTTTGTTGTAGAAATGTTTTGTCTAGTCACTGTTATAGTATATTCATAATGAAGCACCAGATCCATCCTTGCTTCATTGTTATTGAATGACATGATGGCATGTCTAGACATAAATCTGCAGATATCCATTAGCCTTCCATTGAAGTTTATGGCAAAGGGTGCTATGGAAACACTTCAGTGCTCCTGCTGACCTTCGTATTTTATTGGTGTACAATGTAACATTTGAGATCCTTTCGGTTAAATTCGGCTATAATAAATTCAATTGTCATGGCAAACTCACATAGGAAAAAGAATATTGGAACGCTAAATGTCGCCTCATAAACATTCTCTAATTAGAAGCAGAATTTGTCTAGAAAAAATGAGTTATTCATTGTGGTAGAAATTATAATTGTACTATTTGCTTCATGTTTCAAATTTGCAAATATAAAAAGTTGACTTCGGATGACAGTTCATCTACTTTTATTTTACGTATGCGGGGATAAATTGTTATTCGAGATAAGAATTTAGGAATCGAGATTGGTTTTGATTTTCCTATTTCTTCTATCTCACTGTTCTCTTTCTGCATTAAAAAATAGTCCCACCAGAATTGAAATATTTATCTCTGTGTAGCATATTTATGCATGTATATATTCGCTTGCCATTTGTTGTGCTCGGAAAAAAATGATTAAGTGATATATATCAAGAAACAAACTATAATTAGGCCTTCTCGGATGCAGATTTAACAATAATTTAAAGCAAAGTGTCTGTGGGCTTTTTTTTGGTGCAGAAACAGCAGCATAAGCAGTAGTAGTATTTATTAGTTTTTTCCCAGTTCACCAGTTAATGCTTAAATTTCCAATTATAATTCTTGAATCAAGATAGATAAATATTTTGTGGAGAGTTACAAAATTTTAATATATTACAGTCCAATTCTTTACGGTTCCTAAATTAGGATTTATATACTCCACTACCTTTTTCTATTGGTACAAAATCTGAGATTTGAAATATTTTGCTTAAATTCATTACGATGTTAAATCTTAGAACCAAGATACCTCGAGACAAAAAAAATCGACCAAAATGTTTTTGTATGTTAAAGATAAGCTTAACTCGTCGGACAAGCAAGAGGGTCAAAATTAATCAATTAAAAAACCATTTACATTTTAAATAATAACCTCGTCATTTTGAATTTTAAATCTAAATCATCGTAAGGAGATGAACTTTGATATTTGCATTCAATAATTTTAATTTAATAGTAAAAAAAAAGGGAAAAAACAAAATCAGTATTCTGCTTTGCCTTGGAGTATAGTTTTGATATTTTGATAGATTTTCATTTTGAAACATTGTCTTATTATACTTGAATATGTATTTTAGAAAAGAATAATTTGATAGTTAAAATGCTTTGTTTCTAAATAGATGAATGCTCTTTTATGATCCAAACTTGTTATTTTTGTGATGTTACAATAACAAAACAGTACTTCCCAATTTAACTCCTCAAATTTTTATGGCATACAATTCTCTGCTTTTCTTTTATGTATACCCCAAAACTTTTATATACATACTTATATATATATACATATATTATACATATACACACAGACACACACTATTTCTTTGTTTATTTTGTTTTTTGTTTGAGAGAGAGAAAGAGAGAGAGTATATGTGTGTTGTTCTAATAAAAACTCTCCAACATAAATAACAAAACACATTATAAATCATGTAAGGGGTACTAAATTTTATTTTCTTTTATTGTATATTTGTTTGTGTACATTTTGTTTAGAAGAGAATGGAAATTGCATTCTTAGTTTTTATTTATTTATTATTATTTTTATTTTGTATTTGTTCAAGAGCCATATCAGGTATTAAGCTAAAAAGTGCCAACAAAGTTTAAAAAAATCAAGGTCAGATATTATTTATTATTGTTTTGTGAATTTATACTTGATTTATATCGTTCTACCGATTAGTTTTACAACATTCTCTCTATTGACATTCTTCCTTCGATTCGAACAAATTTCTGATCAACTCTTTTTTATAAAATTTGTTAGTGATTTAGTATATTTTCACATTCCACGAATTAGAATTAGACAGTAAAAAAGAAAGAGGAAAGGCAGAAATAAGTCTTCTTTAAAAAGTTATCTGACCTTGAACATAAACTGGATCGCAATCGCTGGAATTAAAAATTTGTCTTTAAAATAAGTTTGTTCGGCACTGATATACATATAAATATATATATGTATATGAATATGACAAACACTTACTAGTCAATTCTTTTTATTTTAAGCTACAATTCGTATTCGTTACAATCTTCGGTAGCATTTTCATTACAGAAAGTATTTTCTCGTAATCACGTTAAACCATATTTTAAAAAAATAGCAAATGGCCAGTGAAGTTTTGAAAAAGTAAAGCCGCATTGCCTGAATTAATCAAAGAAGAATATCAGCATGTTTTTTATTATTCACAAATGTCAGAAAATTTACAAATTTGTTAATGGATTGTTGTTTGTATAAAGAAGTTTGCATTTATTTTTGTTATTCCCCTTTATTAAAAGATTGTGATCATTGTCGGCAACATACGATCTGTTTTGATCATTATTCGTAGATGGTTTGAAGTAGAAAAAAGAAAACTTTGCAGATCTCTGTAGAGTTACGTTAAGTCGTCCTTGTCGCGATATTCCCCCATCTTTTTGTTAGTACTTACAGAATTTTAATGTCCAAAATATTAAACCATCTATGAACAAAAAAATTCTATTGTGTACAAAGTACAGATTTTTGCTGAGCGAAACTGGTACGTGGATTCCGTTCAAACGTAAATTTTAAAAGTTTAACAAAAATCGACATGTAAAAAATTGCAGCTTTTGTGGTACACGAAACATTTCGTCATAGAAATGTTTCATCTTCAGCATCACTATCCATTTAACTGTGCCAAACATAAGTCAAAAGAAATCTGTATCGACAGAATAAAAAAAAACTGTATATCAGTATAGAGATTATATTTGTGTTGCTGTATTATTTATGGTCATGGCTGCATTGTAATTTTATGTGATATCGACAAAATAAATACTAATGTATCGATATATTCGGAAAGTACTTAAGAAAATAACATAGAAAAATTTATTACAATATATCTCCACCCGAGTGGCATAACTTGCAATGGTAGAAAGCAATTTATGTTTAAAATATATCATTATTATTTATATTTTGATTTTAAATCTGTTAAATTGCTGATGTAAAGTGAAATGAGAATCAAGCAGCTGCAATAAAATTTTTAGTAATTGTATTTATTTTGTTGTTTTTTCTAAGACAAACACACTTATATTTCTATAATATCAAATGGATCAAAATTGTTTACGTTTAAATTAAAATAAATAAGCCTATTATGGGTGGTTTAACTCGCAACGATTTGACCCGCACGACAAACAGTGCGCCAACCCGTACTACTAACGATAAATTAGGAATCTGGGTTTAAATCTTGTCTAGATCACGTAAGTGGTAAACTTAGTTTGGCCATCTGGCTAACCATTAACAATTCTAATAACATTTGATGTTATAGTAGAACAATAGTGTGGCATTGTTACTACAATAGCTACTAATTTAATCCAATAGTACTGTCTAAATAAATTAATTTGAAGCTCTAAGGAGCATGTAAAGAACTCTTGAATAAAGCTGTATAGTATTGAGAATTCTTTCGGAAGACTTAGACTTATGATCAATAGGGTCTAGAGTCCCGGAAACATCGAATAATGCATTCCAATTGACAATTCATAATATTCAGTCCAGTTGACACTTTACTCGTGTATTAGTTTTCGTCATAAAAATATTCCTGGTATTTTACACAATTTCGTATAATAATGTAATGTAAATATGGGATAGACATTCTGAAATAACAGTAAAAAGAATCAAATACGATGGCTTCTAGTTTGAATGCTCTGCTCTATTTTATATGTAAGGACTGTCTGTTTTAATCATTTAGAATGCAAAAATGAAATGTTTTTATTCATTGTTGTAGAAGATTGTTCTGAAGATGAGCCGATATTCATACAGCAACGCAACATAGGCGATCTGCCAAGAGGAAATGTCTCCCGGGAGGTCTTTTATGGAAAATTGGTGCATATTTAGATGTTACTAACGTGCAGAAAACACGGAAAACCACGTGGCCAGCCCGTTGGCGACGCACGAACCCACGACCAGCGTTTGGTGGTTTTATCCGCTGGACCACCGGTGAGCGCCAATAGTACTCGAAATTGCTTAGATTATAATAAAGTAAATTTCCTTTGTAAAAGCAATTTTCTTGTTGAGTTTCTTTCAAAATTGCAAATTCTAATTAACTTAGTTTATGAATTAGTTGGAATTTCTAGGTGAACAAATGATGTATCAAAAAGAAACAAAACTAACTTTAGTGGCTATTCAGTAAAATGTATTCATTTATATACGTATACAATGAAATATCTTCCAGAACAGCGGTCGTTAATATTTTCTTTTAAATTAATAAAACATTATGAAAGCGAATCTTAAGAATTTTTTTTTATATTGAACTAAAGTTTATAAACAGAAAACTATATCAAATTTTATAAGTAACGTGACGTCATTGGCCGAACGTCATTCACCACAACAATTATGCAACGAGCTTTTTCGATAATTGTTAATGAATCAACAATTCAAATTCCATTGTTCTTTGTTTGAATGAAGACGCCATTTTCGTATTTCTCGCATTTTCGAAGAAATAACGTAAGAAAGAGCCGCGAAATTGCAGAACGATAGAGGGAAGAGGAAAAGACGGTGTTTTAGTGTAAGAAACAGAACATTCAAACAAAGAACAATGGACTTTTAATTGTTTATTCGTATGTAGGTGATATGTATATAGGAATATATATATTAAGTAAATGTAAATATTTAAATATAAAGTNTAAAATTTTTTAACTTTTAAGTTTGTACAGCAAGTGATTTAGTTAATAAAACATTATGAAAGTGAATCTTAAGAATTCTTTTATATTGAACTAAATTTTATAAACAGAAAATTATATCAAATTTTATAAGTAACGTGACACCATTGTTCGAACGTCATTCATGACAGCAATTATGCAACAACGAGCTTTTTCAATAATTTTTAACGAATAAACAATTCAAATTCCATTGTTCTTTGTTCGAATAAAGACGCCACTTTAGAAAAAATAACGTAAAAAAGAACCGCGAAATTGCAGAAGAGAAAAAGACGGTGTTTTAGTGTAAGAAACAGAACATTCAAACAAGGAACAATGGACTTTTAATTATTTATTCGTATGTATGTGATATGTATATAGGAATATATATATTAAGTAAATGTAAATATTTAAATATAAAGTATTACTATCAAATATAAATATAATTGCAAATTAAATTAGAATTAGAAATAAAAATTGGAATTAATTAGAATTTAATATCAATATTTTATGTATGATTATAATATGATCATATATTATATTATATACGAGGGTCATTCAAATGAAACACGACCAATGGATATATCAAAGCGCGGAATGTGTCTATTTGAATTGTAGTGAAAACACTGCAGGATCACGCTGCANTCGGTTTACTACACTAGACTAGACGTTCGCGGTGCTACGGTTTATAACTTTGTTAAATTTCTTCTGATTTTAATTTGTAAGTAACATTTTATTATTTTTATTAATCATGAATTGCAAAAGGGCAACAGAAAAATAAAAAAATGACTAGAATCACAGCGGAACTGAAAAAAGAGAAATATGAAGGTGGAACGCGTGTTCGAGATTTAACGAGATTTAACTGTTGCATTCCGTATTCCGAGAACGACTATATCGACAATCATGAAAAATAAAGACATTACTGTATTAAATTTGCTAACGTTGTGAAAGGGGTTAAATCAATTTCTAAACAGAGATCGAAGACATTAGATCATGTCGAGAAATTGCTTTTGCTTTGGATAACTGAAAAACAGTGTGCCGGCGACAGCGTATCGGAAGAAATTATTTGCGAGAAAGTTAAAAGGATCAGGGCCGGATCATCGCATAGACAAATGAAACAAATGTCTAGGGCCCGGTTTTTAGAAGGGCCAGGTCAAACTGTCTATTTTCAAAAGATTTGTAAATAAGATAGATTATTCTTCTGTTGGACAACTGTATAATACTGGTAAAACTGGTAAAATATTATATTATTTAAATATTAACCAAAAAGGTTAAATTAAACAAGTAAAACGGCAAAACCGTATTTGGGACACGACTATGTCTCGGAGACACTACTAAGCGGAATCACTTTGACGCTCAAAGCGGATCTCTTTCTCATTCTCCAATCTTCTTTGGTATCGCTGCTTTTGGGCGCGATCGTTCAAACTTCGCCNTATTATTTCTCAGTTTCAGGGAGCATTTGTTCAAGGAAGAGGAACTATGTATAATGTCTTTATACTTAACGGGTTAATACAGTATGTTCTGTCAAGGAAAAGACGTAAAATTTATTCGATATTTGTGGACCTGGAAAAGGCGTTTGATAAAATCAATCTTAATATTTTGTGGGGAAAGTTATATTCATTAGGACTTTCAACTTCGTTTATTAAGCTACTTAAAAACTTATTTTGTAATACAAGGTATCATGTGAGCGGCAACTCGACAGCTACTAAGGGTGTTATTTCTGGTGGAGGCTTGCCACAGGGTGAGCCTTTAAGTCCTCTGTTGTTTATATTATTTATTAACGATTTACCGCAATTGTTTGCTACTTCAGAAATTTCGGGTTTAGCACTTGGAGATTCTGTCGACCTGCATTGTCTAATGTATGCAGATGATGTAATTTTGTTGGCAGATTCAAAGACGGGTTTACAGCGAAAACTTTCTTTGTTGGTTAATTATGCAGAAAGAAATGATCTCACAGTTAACTTACAAAAAACGAAGGGAATGGTTTTTCGCAATGGAGGTAGATTACTTGAAATGTGTTGACACAAATATCTTATTCACAAATAAGATATTTGTGAATAATACTGAAATTGAATTTGTTACATATATTAAATACTTAGGAATACATTTTTCTTCTTCAGGTGCATTTAGTCATCATTTTAACTTGATGGTCGAAGATATACAGAAAAAGACAGGCTACATTCTTACTCTACAAAAATGTATGAGGCTAAGCTCTATGAGTAGTATGTTTAGGCTTTTTGATGCTTTTATTCGTTCCAGGTTGTCTTATTTATTCCCTGTATGGGGTTTGGAATTTCTGTCTAAAATAGAAAAAGTACAGATGAAATATTTTAAGAGACTTTTTAAAATAGAACGTTCAGTTTCAAGTTCTGCAGTTCGTCTTGAATTGGGAAGACCTCCTTTGGAACTGAAATTTGTTAAGGATATTGTTTTGTTCTGGTCAAAAGTCATGGAGTTACCCTCATGTGATTTGCGTCGAATAACATATAATCTATTGCTAACAGCAGTTAAACCTGGTAAGAAAAGTTAAAAAAAGAAAAACAGCTTCAGTTAAAAATATATTCTATGGCTTGGGTTATTCTTTTCTGTTTTTAACTCGTTTACCTTCTTTGTTGAGAACTCATTTAAATGCATTAATTCAAACTAGATCAGATCAGTTGTGGAATTGGGACATGTCTTCTGTATCAGCTAAAAGAGGTAATTTGTTTGAATCACGATCGGTCTGGTGTACAGCAAATTACTTGAATTGTGAGGCTAATTTTCTCACAAAAAGCCTCATTAAGCAACTCAGATTAAATAAATTTCGGATTTTGTTTAAAGGCTATAGAATAAATATATTCAGTGAAGGGTGCTGTAGTTATTGTGGTGCTAAAGAGGAAGGAAATCTTCTGACTCATTTGTTTGAATCCTGTCAGGTGACATATCAACTAAAAAGTGCTGTATTAGGAGACGAGTTCAGATGTGATTTTTTGAAGGACGAGGTCATGTCAAAAATCACCTTATTTAAGTTTTTTTTCCTTTTTCTCTAAATCTTTGGAATTTCTCCGTTAATTTATTACTATGGATTGTATGTACATTTATTAACATTATTTAATCAAATAGTCCCCATTGTAAGAAATTTAAATTTCTTATCAATAAACATTATTATTATTATTATTATTATATTATATGAGGGTCATTCAAATGATACCCGACCAATGGATATATCAAAGCGCGGAATGTGTCTATTTGAAATGTAGGTGGAAACACTGTATGCTCACGCTGAAGTATCATGTGACGCTCTGCCACGTGAACCCACAAACAAACTGCATTCGTTTAGCAGGTCAGACAGCTACTCCGCACAACTTTCAAGCATGGATGC